CGATTGCTACTTCATTAGGCTTTTCTACAACACCTTCTATTAGAAACACTTCAAAAACCAACCCTAGGCTGAAACTGTCTTCTGCTACCTCAATGCCCCAGAAAAGCAGATTTCCACACATCCGGATCAAACAAATTTGTATTCTTATAAAAAAAGTAGTACTCTATGAATTCTGAAGCCTTCTCGTCTGAATAGCAATATTCGGTCCGAGAAAAAATATGCCATTTTTGAGGTATAGTCAGAAGAGGGAGGGGGTGGAGAGGCCAATGGTTAGTGGTGCAGTACTGAAAAGCCTAGTGTTTATTCGAGCACCTCCCCAACATTCTCTCGCAAGCACGTGAGAACGCCTAAGCTCTGCAAGACTGCGAGAAGGATCGACTTGCATTCCTCGTCATTAATAAAGAGGAAATCCTCAAGCAGCAGTTGAAATGCTAAATAAAATATTCGATTTCTACGAAGAAATGGCAGAAAACAAATCAAATTATCTTGAAATTTCACAGATGGAAGCTGTTCAAGTTTTGCAGAAGACGACAGAGAAACACACGCGCTTTTCGGTACTAAGATATTTTCTCAGATTTTTATTTTTTTAATGACTATTAAATAACATTAGAAGTAATAATGCTCAACTCAGCTTCTATTTTCAATTTCTCCCTCGTCATTGTCGTTTATATTTATATCGGCAAAATCGTTTTCAACTGAGATTCTCAACATCACACAGTGCTCTTTCGAAGCTATGCAGGATAGTGCCATAAGAGATGGAATAAAAATTACTATGATCAAAAATAAGTGGAGGAAAATAATAAGGATAAGAATAAAAAATTGCTGGAATTTGTCAAATCAACAGAATTACTAAAAGTCAATAAACTGACCATAAACACTATTTTCCAGCACAGAACGCTCTTATCTATAAACTGCTGTTACCTATTTAATATTAAGGTAGTCGCATAATAAAGTTTAAAGGCTCGTGATGTGAAAATAGAGATATACTATCAGATCTTCACATGAGTTTTGGCACTAAAACGATAAATACCAAATTTATTGGGCGGAAGTATAAAAATTTCACATCTAGCCTGCTACGTTCGATATTCTGCTGATTGTCGCATGATCACAGTCAAAATGTCGGCCTTCGGAGCACAGCTGGTCAAACAAGTTGGTGTTGCCGGCTCGAAAATCAGCTGTTCGCCTGGACGCAAATCCTTGAGCTTTTGCCCGGTTGATGTTCTCCAAGGCGGTCTGTGCATTGCGTCCTAATTCGTACTCGTAAAAGCAAATTGCGATGAAGGCCTCGTTGAGCAGTCATGGTGCGTCGCAGTATGAACAAATTTGATACTAGAAAAAGCTTGGAAATTCTACACAAATCGGTACTGATTTGTAGCCTGAAAGATGACAGTGATGTGTACAAGCTAATGACGCATACTTTGAATAGTGTTGCTGGGCAATTCTGATAATTTTTGGTTAATAAATTTGGTGTTCTTTGCTCCACTACCAAAACTTATTAGAAGACCTAACAACATAAATCTAGATGTCAAATTGTGCCTCAACTTCAAACAACTTAGTAAATCTACGACAGAGGCGGGGTGTATTCTAAATATTTTTGAAGCGTATTTGAAAGTTTCCTTTCCTCATTAATGCCAACTAGACTGATTGATTCCGATTTCTAGACTCTCTGGTAGTGCACTGGTCAACGCGACGTATTATTCCAGTAAAGAAAATATCTTTTTGACGTTCAATTCGGACCACACAAAAAACGGCCACGGATTCAGTGCGTTCTATAAGCAGATCACATAGATCTCAGCAGTGGTGTTTTTGTTCTGTAGTGTTTCGACAATAAAGAAGTTATTTATGCTTCAGCCGTACCGATTCTACACCTATGAACAAGCGTAGCCCATCATAGTGGCGCCAGTTCATTTTATTTCCTCCTTAGTGCACGAATAAAATTACTTTTGGAAGAAAGAGGGAATTGGTAGTCAGTAATCAATTTTTGTGCTGGAACGGCTTCCTCTTGAAATACGAGAAACTCGACCATAAATAAGTGTGATTATTTACGTGACAACGTTACGCTCTTTTTTTTTGTCTTCTGCCACATCGTGGAAACAAAGATGATTGATGAACGTGATGATTTTAGTGGCGCTTAATTTACCATTTTTTTTAAAACATTTCAAACCCGCGAGCTCGTTACCTCTAATAGGAGTCGTAGAACTAGGAGATGTTGGCCACCTTGAATTTCAAAGCAGCAACTCTCAGCTCATAAGAATTTTGCTGATTACGACAAAAAAATGTCGAAATTCGCAAATATTTGCCTGTAAGATAGAAGTCTTCTTGTTGTTTATCACGGCAAAATTCGAATTTTCTAGAACCCGTGAAACATTTCTCGTTGATTTTCATCACTTCAAGCTCAAATTTCAAGCACTTAAAAAATCAAGCGGCCAAATGCAGGACAAAATGTTGTGCAGTACTTTTAATATGTATTTATACAATAAAGTAGAGTCTCTTCAAAACTGTAAGAGCGTGAACTCATGAAATGCTCTAATTATCGAGAACTGCCGTCTGTTTTCGAAAACCAGCTTAGTCACAAATGTGTTAAAAAATGAGCAAACGAATCGTAACGCATCGTTGATTAAGAAGTACTTTCCGAACAAATCAGAAAAAATTGTGTAATCTCTTAGAACAACTTTATCAATCCGTTCATGCTCATGCCTAGTTATGGTGCTAGTGATAAATGTGTTTTGGTAGCGAGTGGTATCAATACTTGCAATAATCATAACGTTGGCCAACGTTGGGACAATTTGTCACTGCTTTGACGAGTGATAAGATTAGGTGTTAGGAGCGTGCACTTGTGTTTCTCGCTTTCTCTTTGCTTTGTTGACAACTAATTTCCTCATTTTTCATTAGAAAATAGCGATAGAAACGATGCTTAGCACATATGGTGCGGCACTAGCCGTATTTCAATTCAGAACCTCATCGATAGAATGGAAACTTATTTGCTTTACGATCAGGAGACTGACTTTGCGAGAGCTCATTAGGTATAATTCAGACCTTTTTTCCGGTCTATTATTACGCAATGATGATCACAAACACGTTTTCGATGTTCATAACTGACCGAATTTCTTTGGAATTTTGCAAATTAATTTTATTCACGACCATTTCGCACATTTTGGAAAAATTAAATAGTAATTTTTATGAAACCATGTTTATTTGTGTTGTATGCGAAGTAGAGCACTTCCAACTACTGCACCACATGCGCTTCTCGATTTTTCAGTGTGTTAATAAACGGGAAAGTACCACCAAATTACAAAATCTTCTTCGGACGCCAAATGTTTTCTATAACCACTTTAACAAGGGACACATAAACGGGATTGATAAGTGTATTTTCCTGCCGAGATAAACAAAATCATAAATAATTTTGTTTATAAGTTCAGTAATTCGTCGCAGACAGTTCATCGTTGATGTCATCATTACGAAGCAGTAGGAACAAGTTCGTTTCTAGAGAAAACACTGCTGTTCTAACCGCCAGTAATGAATTCCCGCTGTGGCATTAAAAAGTTTTTTTCCTCGTCATCAATCTTTTCACTTTCGCTTTACGATGTTCCAAAGTTTGAGTTTCAGCCGAACGCCCTTCTTTGCCATTCTCGGTTCCGTCCTAAACCTTCTTTAGTGCAGGAAATATCCAATCACTCGGATATCCCGCTACAGAAAGTCATTTCATAGAAGTCATTTCCTTATCGCTGACTATGTCTGAGTTGTGGCATCCATTCGTTTCACGTCATGATGTTTTCGCTTCTGTGCTTTCGTATTGCAGTAAAATGATTCGATCACACAGTGAGAGTTCAATCCACTATTGTGAAGACAATGTTGCAATATGCGAGCACTCATTATCAAGCGCTACACATTTCGTTATCAAATTGCCTCACAATAAAGCTGATTACCGGTGGTGGTATCATCCAGGGATCCTAAAACGTTACTTGTATCGCCAGTTTTATGGCCTACAATCTCACTCACGTTGGTTGAAAATTGAGATAACGACTGTATCACGTTCACTACTCAACATTTCTTCACTTTTGGAAGTCACTGAGATCTTCACAAGACGTTCCCAACTTATTCTTCACTCGCAAAGAAATCAGATTTCTTCATCTTAATAATATTTCATGCAGTAATATTCGTCCTCGATAAGGATCTTCGTCTTCGTTGTCGTTCAAGTCGAATTTTTTTTGGTAGAGCACCGCTCGAATGATGAACCACTCGGCAATGTCCAGTATGTACGAAAAGATTGCTAATCACCCGTTGATAATTATTTGTCTTCTGCTATCAATCTAAACTGCAGTAGTCGGTAGTCGGTACCAGTTAGGACAAAGCCGAGTAAAGTTCTGAGAAGAGCATCGATGAGTGAAGTTCCTCGTCCGAGCGGTGTTCACCAAGGAGATTCAGCTCAAACGACAACGACAATGGAGGCGAAAATCCACAGCAATGTTGAACGAGTGCGATGTATCGACTCGAATCATCGGCTTCGAAGAACAATGAGACGTTGAAACTACTAGCTAAATAAAGTTCCTCATTATCCTCTTAGTGCTGGCTAAATAATAGAAGAAACTGTTATTGATTGATAATGCCGAGGTTAAAGGCATTTGCTCTTTAGAAAACTTTATCATAATTTATTACTGGGTCTTAAGTAATGATCTCATGAGATAGTGGCATCGAATAGTATAGAGTTAGAGTGTGAACATGATAGCCACTTCCAACTCTGAACTAACTTATCTCGGCTCTTATGTTGCTCATACTGCATGTAGCGAAGTGTTGGACGCCTTACTATGGGAGACGGCACTGAACGAAAGTAATCATGATGGTAGCTGGAAATATGATATCACTGAGAAAAGTAAGTATGCACTATATTTTGAGCTAATTTTAGAACGCAAGTAAACATACATTCTGAAACTCGATGAGTATCTTATCTTAATTTTCATACCATGCAGTGTTTCGAAAACTATTTCCCTTTGTTAAAGCGGGCGTCGGTCGTGCAACGGTTTAGCACGCGTTCCCGGAAAGAGTGAAATTTGGGTTCGAATCTCAGCTGACGCAAACGTTTTGGCACGCCACTTTACATTACTAGATTTATTGTAACCACCGCAATAGGCGGTCAAATAAAATGAATTCTGAATGATTATTTTCTTTTGTTGCACATCATAAGCAAGTGCATCACAGTGGTGAGCTACCCTACATCACACAGGTGGTGTTGGTTCGATCTAGTTTCAGGCTCACTAAGCTTCCATTCGGTTGTATTTGGCCAACTGGCTTCATACTGTGTGCACGGATAGCAGCACTATCTCTAGACCACCATAAGTCATTACAATGACCATATATGCAATATAATAGGCATTTCCGCTTCCAACGATGCATAGTGAAGTCTAATGCACTCGTCTTACTTGTGGAATGATCAGTGCCGACCGTATCCTTATCCACATCATCACGTTTAGGAGCAAAGCGACTAATGATTAGCCTTCGCGTAAGTAAGAGTTCTAGAATTTCTTTTGATTGTAACATTCCGCTTTCCTATTTGAATGAGTAAAATAATTTAATACCTTACCGCGCTTTATTTGAAATGGATTAATAGTAACACGTAGATTTTTAGAATAAATTGTTAAAGTTTGACTAGAAATTCCCAAGACCGGCAATCTATTAATGTCGGCACAGATCAATATTTCACTGTTTTTCTTGATAAGCGAGCACGAGGTGTGTCCACACAATTTATTTAAACAACTGTCGCTCCGGAAGAAATTGCTTTTTTCAGATCTTGGAAGCATCAAGCTGTTTGTAACACACTCAGTTAAATGTCTTCGTAATCCTAGTGGAAAGATATCAAAACCTAGATCTCAATCGCAATGAAAAACCAAGCAGCCTTTCCTCTCACTCACCGAATTTTGCGAGTCTTCCACTGACTAATCCTCGTGGAGACAGCAGCACGCAGTTTACGTGGATTGCTAATTCACCCTCTCACATCACAATATAGCTCTGCTATATTATTTGAGATCACGCAAAATAGCGACGTATTTCTATTGGCGGTTCATTGTTGATTTCATGGAAATTATTCAGAATATTTCGAGAAAATCACGCGCTTTAATTTATGATTCATGTGAGAGATGGTGATTTCTTTATCTAAATCTTTCTGATATGTTTCTGTGTACTACACGCTCGTTATTCGGTTCAACTTTAACGCCTCTTGTCCCGTATTATTTTTCATGCGCCAAACGGCGGGACCGCGCGGCGAACACAACGCATAACGGCAATGTGATAGATTTTTGACAAAATTTAGAATTTTATCTCCATTAAAAAAGGCTGAACCGTCAGTAAATGACTGGTATAATGGAAGAGGCTTCAATAGGCTATTTTTGGTTGGAAAGTGGCAAAACAATTACAGAACAATGACTTGCTAGTTATTAAGGATGCTGCACATTGCAATATGATGATCTTATTTATAATTCGAGGCAACATTCCTTTATTAGTAGACATTATAAGTTAAGAATTTTATAGAGTTGTAGAAGTGGCTTTGTTCTGATGTCTTATGGGTAACAAGCTTGGTATTATTCTGTAACCTTTGTCACTAGTTAAACACACTAATTTTATTTGCTCTACTAATTTTTTCTTTATATGAACCTCTTAACGAGGCAAGCTTAGTATAAAAATCAGCACTTTCGAGGCTATCGAATGATTGCCAATAATTAAGTGGAAAAGCTCCTATTCGGCAAAAAATTCGAAACAATATGAGTACATTTCACACAATGCGAATGCACTCCATAGATTCGTATTGAAAAGTGGTATTGTTGAAAACAACTGGACGTTCTTTTTACCAAAACTATGTTTATAAAAGTATTTCCGCTATCGACTGCTTTTTTACAGACCCGCTCAAAATGATTTAATCTGATAAGGATATGACATATTTTGAGACATAGGTCTAGTGCTATATAGGCGCCTATTTCGTCCTATTGGGACTCATCAGTAGCACCCTCCCTCGGTTCCGTTGATCCCTTGAGGTGAAATAATCCTCTAAAGGAATCGACGCCGAGTAAAAACTAAGCACCCAAAGTAGGATGATAGTATTACCTGACTTTGTGGTGACCGGCAGTCGAGCTTGCGGCTTTCAAAATGAATCATACTTCTATTTCCATTGAAAATAAAACTGTATTATGAAAAGCTATAAAACCTATGTACTGCAAAGTTCACCTAAAACCAAAATTTCACTACAAAATTCCAAAAACTTATGTGAACTTGAAACAAAATAGTCCGAAAGCAAAAAAAGTTTCTTAAAATTTTTGTTACAAAAGCGTAGTATGAAGGTACTCTCGCAGACCAAGCATAGCATCAGAATGGCAACTCTCAAACCATCGCATCATTACAAAAGCATAGACCAATAAAGAAAAACTCTTGTTATATAACAGTCGGAATTACGTTACTGTCTGCGACGATATTGTTTACGCGTTCGATTAGGAGAATTTTCGACCCATGGGCGTTCTTTATGCTAAAAAAGCCCTCATAGAAAGTATTCTATTACCCAGTGATGATAGTGTATCCCAACCTCATTTTGCCAAATAAATTCTTACGGTCTGGTAAGGGCTCTTGTACAGCCCGATACACGTGTTTCGTCCTTACAGACTCGTCAGTCGGGCAGAACTCGTGGTCTTTCGATGTTTTTGAAGTCAGTTCTTTCGGGAGCTACACTCCCTTACAGAGAGTCATCGATAACGAACGTTTTACACTCTATGTCAAGTGAAATTTGCACCTAACACAGAGTGTTTTGCGCACTCGATTGCTCTTTGGCTGGTATTTTTATCATATTATACCTTTATTTCGAGTGCTTTATTAAGACCACGTTCAAATTTTAATGGATCCTTTCAATATTAATTGAGCCAGCTTGTCATGTGGTCTGGTAAGAGCACTTGTACAGCCCGATACACGTGTTTCGTCCTTACAAACTCGTCAGTCGGGCAGAACCCGTCGTCTTTCGATAATTTTATTTCTTGTCAAATAATAATGAAAGGATCGATTAAAATCTGAGCGTGGTCTTAATGAAGCATACGAAATAAAAGTATAAATTCTTATGATTTCCTTGCAGCTCGCGGTATTACATGATTATCGCCGCACTGGCGCGCGATGTCGTGGACAGAAGCACACGATGTGACACTAGGGAATCAAGGGGTTTAGTTTGACGACTATCTGCCTCTTATAAGATTGCAAGTTCCTTTTCCAGTGAGGCTTTTTTTATTTAATTTGATAATCAATCAAAAGTGGTCAACTCAGTTTCGGATTTTTCAAACTAATTCAAATTGCAGATTTTTTTTTCTTATAAAGTTGAGTAGCCACAAAACTGCATGGCATGCCCCAAGGAGAAAACTGATAATTGCATGAGTTCATTACGGCCGACTTAGCCTTTCGTAAAGCATGCTGTCGAAAATGCATCGGCGAAACAGGTGGATTAAAGATTATTTTGTGAGATATCTAGTAGAGAGATCTGCAGATAAATCATATACCCCTCTGGATGCACATAGAACCAATGACGTAATGGAGGACACTTCAAAGTAAAACTTTCCACCCACGCACAGGAATATAAAACTTCCGTGGGTGAGACTCGCGTAGCATATTAGATAAATTCGAATCCTTGGATGAACCACAAGAAGGAGTGTCTTGTTATCACGCGTGGTCTCACGAAGTATATTAGGTAATTGTAAAAGACCCACAGATTTCGGTGAGGGTGTGGTAAAACTTTGTTTGTAGTCCATTATGAGCTAGATCTCGTGATTTTCCTTCGAATATAAAGGTGTTTACTGACTATGATTTAATCGATTTGATTTTTCCAAGCTCTGAAGGAGGATTTTGCTGAAACGTCTCTTGTTGAAACACGCTGTGCGACTACATCCTGAGTGTATATCTTGCAGCAAATCCCGCAAACCAACAACACCTAAACGAGAAGTTTTAAGCTAAACCAAGTACCCATTAGGCCCGCATATGACACAGGCACATAACGGAAGGATTTTGTGGTTGTATTCACCATCCTCGAACAGAAACCTATGACCTAAGAGCGAAGATTTTGAAGTGTTCTGGATGGACACCAACAATCCAAACATAAGCCGTAGAGAGAATCGCCTCGTAATCACATGTTCCGTGCGATCTATGCGTAGTTGGTCTCCACCTGAACAACTTAGTGGACGGCTCATAAAAAGTGGTGAGTATATTGTAGGTTGTTCTGTACTTGATGTGGTTTAAATCTGATCTTGGGGGTTTTTTCTGAGTAATGGAAGTGTTCGGACGGTTAGGTTGCGTGCAACCTGATCTTTCCAGCCCACAAGAAGGCGAAACCGCCAAAATGTCAGCTGTTCGAATATACCATAATGTAACAATCTTGTGTTCGGCTTATTAAGAGAAGTCTGTGTATAGTAACAAATTTGATTTTTTATTTACTTCCGGTACACGTTTTTAGCAACGGGGTGCGATATGAAGTATAGCCTCAGGAATGCTGACATGCGAGTGGAACTTTGAACATAGTGTTATTAGGTTATGACTCAAAAGTGTCGTCCGAATGGGCACTGCCCCGGAAAAAACATAGTGGAGGTCCGAGTCCACGAAAAAAACACCATCATCCAAGTTTGCTCATATTTCAGTATTTATGTGGTCTTATAAGAACAACTAGTAAAAAAGATTGAGAATACCTCTTAGAATAGCAGGCACAAAGAAAATTTCCTTCGTACCGGTCGATTATCACAGTGAATAGATCATGGAATACGTCGCATTTTAGTTTTGCTCGTCCTAACAAGGAAATTGTGTAGTATCCTAGGCTTTTGTGTATCATAGCCTCAATCGTAGTTAGACCTCTAGTTAATATGTTTGAACTCCGACAACTGCTCGAAAATCCCGTTGTGATGGTGCAGTAAATCATTGTGAGATCGAAGAGATATATTGCAAAAAGTGTATGCTTAGAATGAGGAGAATGCTTGATATATTTTCAGCACTGCATGACAGCAAATGTTAGTAAAACAATGGCCAACTCTGTTCGGTTACTTGTCATCATCTTCACTACTTTACTTAATGTG